GTAGAGCTAATAATTTACAGTCTTAATGAAATAAACTCTTGTTGGGTGTGTAAACATTTTGTTTATCTAGAAGACTTCGGGGATAAGTACGTATTTTAATTTGGTAGAAAGCATTTAATATTTCATACATTAAAATAATCCGAAAAATACATGTCAAAAGAGGGATATGTGCATTGTGCATGTGTTTTTAATGTGTTATAACTTTAGGATGAAATGGAGAAAATTACGGTGTAAAAAATATAAACGGATATTCATATTTAATAAAACTCCCATCAAAGGTTGGTAGAAGTGAAGACAAACATTACAAGTACATTAACAGGAGAGCAATCCAGGTTTAATTAGGCACCTGCTGCTTAACACATCTCAGGTAATTTGGTGTTCAACGTGCTTACTACAGTAACAGGCAATGCATTTGACTACCAAATCACTATTGTGTTCATTATAGTACTTGATAGCACTCTAAAGTCCTTGGCGTAAACGTTAAAAATCAATTTGGTAAAGAAATATTTTTATATGACCATAATCTCTTTCGGAAGAAATTACGCATCAATTGGTTTTATATATAGATCACGTAAATTGTAAACAGACTTTGATAAAAAAATGTTATGTATATAGCCTCAATATGTATGATTACCAATATACAGTATAAGTGGTTAAAATATCTGTACTTTATGTAGTCCAAATGGTTGCAATAGCAACTAGTTTCGGTTCAACACAGGGACCTTCTTGAGGCTTTACAATAAAATACAGGTATTTAAACCACTTAAACTTTGATTGGGTCTCGTGGTGTGTAATAAGTTTTGCTACACTTTTAAAACTCAAGTTTTTCATTCCAGCAGAGTAATGAACGTAACTTCTTATTCAATTTCAATATATGTGTTAATTTCAGTTCTAATACTAGAGAAAGGCTTCAACAATGTATTTCTTAGCCAACTTAAGTGTTACTGTCCGGACGACTTGTCCTTTAGTTACCCTGTAGAGAAAAATACGCATGAGTTGATGCCGGAAAAATTATAAAGTTAATGTGCTAGCCAACCATTTCAATTGTATCTCAAAGGCAATATTCTATTTTTGTTTCATCATCTATTTATTTAGGTGAACAACTCAGATAAAACATGAGGAAATCTAATCTGTGGCTAAACTAACCTAATACCAGCATACGTGGAGAAATAAGTAACAGTCTGGATCTATTATGAAATTGTACTAATCTTTTGTGGCAATCCTGAATCCTAATTGGCCTTATTTGATTTATAAATTGATTTAACAAACATAGACAATATACAAGGTGTTTCAAATTGTCTGGACATATTTTTTAGACTTGTTCCTTGGGTTAAGACAAACATAAAATGCAATGTAAGTATGGGTTTAAAATGCGTAGATTTATGTGTGTCTGTCTGTTTGTGATTTTAACAACTTTTTTTACATATTGGGGATTTTTCAAGATAGAACTTTTAAAATTAGTATATGTATTTTAGAAGGTGGAAAGAGCTTAGAAAGTTAAGTTCAAATATCTCAAGCCGTTTCAATATGGCGGTAATTTAAAGTATTTAATGTAAAAATTAATGAAAACCGTAAATATAAAGAAAATTGTTTTCAAAACCAAAAAGATAGAGAACTTAAATTCAGATGAAAAGAGACCTGGTGTTGTTAAAATCGGATGACAAACAACCGAGTCATCAGTTTATCCCACATTCGGTTATGAAATTTAATAGGACTACCGTACTGCTCTATAATATAACAAATAATAAACAGTCCAGACTATTTTGAAACACCCTGTGTTTGCCTAAAAGCGTGAATATTATTGAGCTTAAGTCTCCAGTAATCCCCCATATTTATAAAAACTATTTTATGGAAGAGAATAGACTAGTATGTATCATTATGATACAACGCTAGATATTATGTTATTTATTATGATACAACGCATAATTATTTATTTATAACAGGCAGTCCTCATTGAAAAAATGAAGAAGGAAAAATGGTTAAGTGTATAAATGTATAAAGAAATCTTAGGAAAAAATAGCATACTAGGATAGTAGAAGCGGTAGAGAGATAGAGAGAAATTGTGTTCCACCCTAGCAGTAACTTGTGAAGGATATGAAGTTGGGCGTTGGTCCCAGACTTATATGAAATTATCTTTATCTGTTTTGGGTCCAAGGATACTCGTGCAGCTTTTATACAAAATATGATTACGTTATCCATCTTCCTTAGTTATGCAGGGTGATTGATATAAGTGTGCCAGCCGTTTTATTCGAAAACCATAAGAGATATAAAAAAAAGGGTAAATGGTAAGTGCCTTGGACTTTTTATTTAAACAATTGTAGTAAAGCAGAACAAATTATTTTAGCCGCCATTTTTCCAATATGGCCGCCAACTTTGATTTTATACTTGTAATTTTTTTCATAAACCTAACCGTTTCAAAGATAATAACGGTTTAAGTTGTGAAATTTTGAATGGTTTTCGAATAAAAAGCTGGCATGCTTCCTTAGGCCTTTATGGGAACTTTCTCGTGCAGAAATTTCAAAACTTTAACCATGATTATCTTTGAAACGGTTAGGTTTATGAAAAAACTCATAAGAATAAAATCGTCTTAAAATTACATTTTTTACCAGAATACATAATAAAATACAGGGTGTTCCATAAGAAAAATCTAAGTTGGTGGCCATATTGGAAAAATGGAGGCTAAAATATTTTTTTTTGACTTGACTACAAGTTTTTAAATAAAAAATCCAAAGCACTTAACATTTAACTTTTTTTGATATATCTTATAGTTTTTTTAATAAAACGGCTGGCACACTTTTATCAATCACCCTGTATACATAAAACAATGATTACAATATACAAACAAATATTTTTCAGAGGTAGGCCTATATGGAAGAAAAGCTGCAGGCAAATAAGGCCTACAAAAGTTAGCTGAATTGATGTGGTGACAAACAGTTAGTTTACCTACTAGAAAGTATAAAAATATTTATTATTTCTCTGCTAGATAGTTTATTTTGCATAAGCAGATATGAAATTGTCTAGAATTAACTTGCGAAAGTGTGGGTAGATAAGGAATAGCGATGTATTCAAATCGTGTATTCATAATCTTGTGTCATTAAATTTAATTTAAAAACAACATATTATTTAGGAAGTATATATTCAATGACGTGTGTATCTGTATGTTGACAATATAACCTTGACTAATATTTACAATATGACTTACTTACCGCATTATGTTAAGTTTTGGAGAACACTTTAATGAGTTTTAGGGGTTTAGCTTAGTCATTAGAAGAGTTTTAAATTAATTTATTTATGGTATTCAGCATTTTAATACTTGAAATCAAAGATAAAATCTACCAACTATGATAACTGAATACTACTTTAAATGCATACAATATAAGGAAATCTCTTATTTAGTAAAGGTCTTTAAAACCGATCGATAATGATTGTACGTAAAAGCTTACCAACTAAAACGTCTAAGATGCAACAACTTGCCTCTAAGCCAGTTTAATTTTTGTTAACATTAAATGTTATATACATCTCAAGGGCTGATAAAAAACTAATGAGATAAGTTAATGTGTTTATTACTCTAATAATAATGTAGAACATTCAAATTTTAAAATCTTATGATGTATTAGAGACATATGGGTGTTTTGTCCACATTGGTGTATGTAGAGCCAAATTAAAGAGATCAAAACAAGATATTAAGAACCATCAGCCATGTAAAAAGGGTAAGCTTTTCAGCCAGACTACTGATTAATTGACGTATCTGGTAGATTGTCTCATCTTAAGTATGATCAAAGCTTGACTATACAGGTTTATTACCACGAGTACAGTATTTCTAAAAAATTTCCTCTTGAATAGCCAATATAAATCATTACCTAACATAATGGTAATATAAAATCCCATTACTCAACTAAAAGTTTAAATTTACGTAATGGTTACGGAAAGGGCAACAGCTGCACTTGTGAGCCCCTTCACGATAATGAAATATTATACAACAGAACTTTCTTCCCTTTCATTACTTTTTAGTGGACTGCAATATTTTACAAGCGCCTGTGCGGGACCAATATTGGAAAACTTGCTCAATCTTAAATTTTATACTGCGTGATCCAAAGTTGAAAATATTAACTAACTAACTACGTTATTACTCTTAAATAAATAAGTATTATTGTTATTTTAAAGGTGATAAAAATTTTAAAATAATTTAAGATCCAATAGAAATATATCAAATGTTAGATTTGATACACCTTGCTTGAAATTAAATTATTTAAAAGGTGTCACACACTACTATTGTAAACCAAACACATTCAACATTTAACTTATAAATTACCTTTTTATGAGGAAATTTTAATTCGATATCAGTAAAATGTTTACATTAATGTCTTATTCTGAAAGTTTACAGATTTACATATTGTAGCCAGCTCAACTCATAAATTACAGTAGGTGCAATTATTCTGTAAGATCTATATCACTAATGATTAAAATTGAATTAATTTAACATATTAGAGTTAATCCTTTTATTTAACAAACTGTTATTATTATTATTGTGATTAGAAAAAGGAATTAAAGTTTATAATATCACACTCAAAAAAACAAAGTAGGATAAAGTATAAAAAAGAAAAAAAAAAATATTGAAGATCAATAATTTATAATATTAATTGTATAGTCTATATAACATTATTATAAAGTACCGATGTTCAAAAACACATTTCTTATTTATTTTCTCCACTGGATTCATAAAATAATATAATTATATTCAAAGCATGATTTGTTTTGTATGGTCTATAGTCTATAATGGTTTTTGTATTCTATCAAATATTTAGGATAACGTAATAAGATAAATTAGGATAGTAAGAAGACTAGGCTAAAAACAGATGTATATGTATTTCTATATTTACAATAATTTACATAATTTACAATTGACATAACATATATACCATAAATAGATTTAAAGTTTTATAGGATAGAATCAAAACTTATCTAATAATAAATTTATATAACAATTGATATTTCCTAAGTACAAATATATAAAACTCTATACACAGCCTTCAAAAGATAAGGTTAACCATGAAAAACGCATGCTTAAGCGTTTAAATTGTAAAATAATTACTTTACTGATGATAAATATAACTGTTTGAATAACAGAACAGGTTTAGATAAAGTAGTATTAGTTTAAATAGTTGACACATAATATTAAAAAACACAAACCACTACATATATAAAACTTCAATTATTTTAGTTCTCTAACTTAAACCGATTGAGCAATATCTCACAAATAAAATAATTAACACTGGTTGAAAATTAGGAACAAAATATAATTTATACTTCCAAAATGTTTATATTTTTATATATTTACCCCAAAAGACCTAAAGCCTAAATGTCTGTTGATCTGTTCATGTGAAGTTTACCATTTACCGTGACGTTTATCTCTGTATACGTCGATTCTCCCTAAATATGGTTTGCATTACGATAAAACATGAATAATATAAATATATTTCAAGTGCATCGTCCTAGATTAGTGCAGACTGATCAGAAGTATAATCCTCAGTGGAAATGTGGGTATACAGGGTGAGCCGCAACAAACTGACACTCACAAAATCCATCCCTGAACCCGCAAGGTGGTGATGGTTGTCAGAACCTCGTCACGGTCTGGGGAGGAACCAGCACGGTCTGACATCCGGACTCTAGTAGTGGGGGGAGCACAGCGACCTGCAATGACACAGGGATTGTTATGAGATGAGTTTAAAAATTATTTGATTGTTCTAGACATAAATCTAGTCTCATAAATAACGCCTCAGGAGTTGTTATAAGTAGTCTTGTTAATCTTCTTTTGTGGTTTTAGACGTTACGTTTACAATATAGTCTCTTGTATAGGGTAGCATGGCAACCTGCAATGCCACTGGAGTTGTTATAAAGACGCTCGTCAGGCTTCTTTGGTGGTTATAGACATGAATGTAGTGTCTTGTATAGGTTCAGCACGGAAACCTGAATTGACTGAGAAAGAAGTACTGTTAGGTTAGGAGCATATGGACCAGGCTCTGCGCATGAGTGAATAAGGCGAGCTGAATTGTCCAAGGAGGAATTACAAATAGTCCTAGGGATATTTGGTAAGATTACCGACATTGACATTGCCGATTAGATTGGCATAGAATAATGTAAAGTAAGATTTAGGAACTATTGGAGATGGCTCAAGGAATACACATTGTCTCAATTGAAGATATAACACGATAAACTGTGTTCATCCTATATCTGCTGTACATATTATGTACAGCAGATTTACATATTATGTAAAGCAGATTTAGGAATCTTTAAGTAAGGTGAGTATCCTGATACTAGTAGTAGTTTTGGTAGCAATGGAAACTGCTGTGCCGTTTCTGTTATTACACCATAATTCCGTTTAGTTTGATTTCAGCTACTTGCTGAAGGACGAAAATATATGTGACCACCACTATGTATGATTTCATTGGAAAACTCTAGATCAAAACGCTCAATATTTATGGAGTACTTACTGTAATGTAACACATCAAGAACCAAAAAATTATAGGCCTACATGGAATTATTATAACCAGTAATTTTATACATAAGTTAATAGAAAGTTATGCATATAATTATGTTTTGCTATATGCTTAAGTGGGATAATTTTTTGCAAGAGGCTCTTTTACATCTGATCTTTGACACTTGACGCCTGAGTTCTCTTGTTCCACGGCTAAAAATGTATCCTTAAACTCTGCAATGATCGTATGGAAACGCTTGTAACTCCTAACCAAAATTAATTTTTACATGTTAAACGTAACCGTCTTAAACAATCTGTTTAAGACCAAATTAAAACCACCATTGAGCTTAGTCAAACGTTCACTGAACAAAAAAAGCGTGTACAATTTTTTGCAGAAGCAGCAGTGAAGAAAAGTAAAAAAAGAGCACAAAAAGAGCAACATTTACAGTGCAAAGCAGTATTGTAACAGACAAAAGTATAAATTGTTTTGTTGGCGCAAGGTACACGTGTGATGTGTTGAAAACAACTTGTAATTAGGTGTACATACCTTTCTCATAAGTTTTTAGCCCTTAAAAACATTCTACATTTTTATTTGAATGCTAGGTATTGGCATGATTTAAATGGAATGATAATAAATTAGGATCTTGATTTATTTCTGCTACATCCTACTTCATTATCTTTCAAGACTGTCTAGACTTTTATAAAAAACAGTTGGTTTTCAACATGAGCAAATCTTAAATCTTGCTATCAATTTTTTTTACTTTGTAAAAAAAATTGTGGAGCTTAATTTGTTTTAGAACTAAAATTTTGTTTCCAAGGACCAACACCGGAAGTGAAAAACATTTAAAATAACAAAGCATATTGGGTTTACTTATACCAAGCTTTCACGAGTGTTTCTGTTCGAATCCCAAACGTTTCCACTTCTTATAAATGCTAAACCAATTGAATTCAAATTGTGATGCACCAATTGAATACGTGCATAAATGGCTATAGTCTATACTAGAGTTCTTGTATTGTGTCTGTAAGTGGGTGTATTAAGTCAAAAAATACCTGCCCCATGTCATGGAAATGTTCATGTAACAAAGCTTTACGTGTGCAACTGAATCAGCTATGCTAACCATGTCATTTGCGAAGAGGTGGGTCAGATCATATATACCTACTTTGTATGGTTGTCATTTCATTGAAAAGTATTAAAATATTAAATTAAAGTATCATTCCTACTAAGCAATATCTTTTACTGACATTTGTTTCAAAAACGTCAATGTGTAATAATCCTACTTATAAATATTATTTGCCAAAAAGTAGTCTTTGTTCGAATAAACATTTAAACTAGCGAGAAATAAACAACGTTTTCTCATAAAGGCGATCATCTTAGTACAAAGCACAATGAAAACATGATTTGAAAAATGATATAGCTCCCTTAGCATACTTTAATAGTTCAATAAATGTGGACATTTCAGTCATAAAATACCATGTTCAAACAGACCAGGGGTACCACAAAATAATAAATTGATTACTGTACGGCTTATTTAAAAGCTAAATAACACTGACATTGATTACCCTTCACTTACTATAATATAAATTGTTTAGGCTTACAGACTTGGTATTGTTTAATATCTGATTAAAACATTGATTTACACATGATGACTGATAAACACTGTACCGGGTGTCTAAAAGAAAGATAGGATCATAATTGAACTGGAATAAACACTCTATTATTAAAGATATAAATTTAACTTGAGTTAATTTTTTTCCCTCAACTTCCTTAGGTTAAATGGTTATATAACGGTTTCACCGCCTTAATCTCTTCATGTTAACCGTTATTTGCTAGAAGAAAGTCAATTCTGTGTTCCAGCTCCTACCCCAGATTGTGACGCATGTCATCATTTATTTTTCCAAAGTGTAAAAATAAATGCATCTATATTTGAGATCGGTGACTGATAGGCCTACACTAAATCTTTCACAAACCCCAGGAAAAATCATACAACAGATTTCGTCTCTATAAGCTTTTCAATCCACTGGGATTTGAACTACACCTCTATATTGTAATTGCGTGTTTTAAATTAAACGTGCTAACAACAATGAAACACATCATTACTGTTAAAGGGTACTAAACAACACTTAAAATGCCAGCTTTAAAATTAGCCATAGTTGACTTTTCTATGGCCCTTGGTAACAAGTATATCAGGATGTAAATGTAATCTATTTTTTGGGACACGGTGTATATAAGATATATCTATACAGTATATAAAGCACATCTAAAGATAGTGTTAAAATATAGCGTGTGCAGTGAGGCTACTAACCATGCAACAACACACAGAAACATGCTATACCGTGCTCTCCTTCCTCCGACACGGGTGCGGTAAGTCTACAACAGGAATAGTGGGTTGTAGCTTCGTATGGACGTAGTCTACTTCGCACTTGAGGTACTGTGAACACAGTTATCCGTTGAACACTTCTTAGCATTGCGTAGTTGATATAAGACATTCATAAAATGTGTTGAATGAGTTAATAAGAAACAGTGAAGGATACTCAAACAATTTAATAAACTCGATTTCAGCAAGAAAACCTTTAATCGTTCCTATTCAACGATGGAAATTTAGTTTCAAAAAAATAATATAAAAACTAAGTATTGGTTAGAGACTAACAAAGTGTTCCTGTAAACTTTGCCAACATCGTTGCGTTCGGGAAAGTTTCAAAAGCGATATTTCTTCCTTTAGAACGATATAGTGCTGCAGACTTTCAATCTTCTAATTATTACACTTTATTTTTAATTAAAACCTTGTTTCCTATCGTTTTTGAACTTTTCTCATAAATTAAAACCAAGGAAATAACAGGTCATTCTGAATTGAAGGTATAAAGATATTATTTTGTTTTATGTCAATGTTGTGGTAAGATAAACTCGTTATGAACTATGGCCTTGAAACGTGGTGAAAGTCATAAGCTACAAATACATTAAACCACACATTTAAGGAAGCATATTATTTTGATAAATAATCACAGCTGTATACTTTATGAAATATTATACATTAACTTACTTCATGTTTAGGATACTCTTCTTCGTCGTAGTCTACAGGATCGTGTAAGAAGTTGCTCTCGCTTGCCACAATGCATGTCTCCTGGTAATCTAAAAAAAATTGAATTTTTGTATAATACTTTTACATTTAATTTATTAATTTAAGAGTTATAAATATGCCGTAAAAATGTGGATTTGCAAACCCTTTTATGTATTAGGATATAACTAAGGTATCATCGGGAGCTTGAGAGGTTTTCAAATTGTATTTAACAATAGAGAAAGTTTTACTAAAAAGTAGAGAACAATAGAAACATTTTGTACAAACCAATGCAGTTCACGTTGCAACTTCATTCAAAAGGCAAACAAGTCTTGGTTTTTTAAAGAAATGGGATATTAAGAAGTCGATGGAACTATACATCTTAAAATCTTTAGCACTCTTGATATATAATGGACGTCTTAAAAGAATTTCCATTCTTTCTTTCATGCAAAAAGTAAACAAATAAGTCCAAATCAAAACATTATGTCACCTTTACCACACAACAAAAAAAGAAATTTTAAAGAGTTACAGTAATACTGGCATTTCTTTTTACTTAGTACACTATTAAGTTTTATGTTCGTTATTATTTTGGTACGACCCTTTTATTAAGAGGGTCAAAAGAACGACACTGAAAAAAATCCTATAACTGAGCAGGGGAAAGATTACAATGGTAGTGAACAATACTTAACTCTGAGTAAACATCGGCAACCAGACATATAGTATCGTATTAGTCAAGTAAATTACATTATGTAGCCTTAAAAAAATATTGATTTTTAGGTATCAGTTACTGAACCTGACATTAGTCACACTCACTTAATGAACTTGGTCAATCAAATACAAATCGGTCGAAAGTATTCATTTTTTTCACATATTTTAATATAATATAAATAAATTTTTTTCATATTTACAGCTAAATTTACATAGTTTGGTGTTAAAGTAAAGTATGAAATTGGGGTTTTTGTTACAAAACGTAAAAGAATTGGATGACTATGTATATTATCAAAGTATTATGAATTACCGTTACTGTGAGGAATGATGTCGGGGTTTTTCTCGATGCTGTCGTTGCTCTCGGAGGAATGTTTTGTGGAGTCCCCAGGTTTACTCTCCCTGCGACACTTGAGCCTGAGGGCTGTGAGCACAGCCAGGACCACCAGCACTACTGAGCCCGCTGCCCCTAGCACTATGGCTATCAGCGGAGACAGCTGCTGCAGCATTGATGTCGAAGCTGCTACCACATACAGAGAGCATACATACAGCAGTGAGGGATAGGTTGTTGTAAGGATAAAAATGTTTTAGTAAGTTCCCAAAACTTAGGAGGTTTTATGGGAAGGTCCCCACTACTTTATTGCTTAATGCATCTGTTGCAGCTGATTTACGTTTTGACCAGCCTCAAATTTAAGCTAGTATTGATCAAGTGAAGGGAATTGATTTCTTCCCCTAAAACCACCAAAAGTTTTTAAGTGAAGTATAGAAAGGTGCTTTTAAAATGCAATAAAAAGGTCTCCTTATTATTAAAGCAATATGCTCATAATATTTACTAGCAATATGAAACTAAAAATTATAGTTTGTGATTACAGTGTGTATGATGTTTATTTGATTACAAGCGAGGTTTATGGTTACTAAGTGTTTGTCAGGATTTGGTTGTTTAAAATAATTCTTTCTTTATAAGTAAATAATTCGATTTTATTTCAATTTAAACTAACTATTGATGATAGCTAGCCATATGATGAAAGATTTTACTAAATCTATCATCAAATGTCTAACAATATGATGTATAATATGTAAGTATGTGATAAAGGTCTTATTAGTTAACTGAACTTAGATCTTTCGGGTAACACTGAGAAAACAACCTTATTCTGTCTATACTGTCCTAAACGTTATGCAATTATAGTTTTTAGGCAAGGCTATAACCAGATGATGACTCACCTAAATGTAGGTGGAAACCCTCCAGACGACCCTCTGATCGCACAGTGTTTGCTGTCAGAACAGTGACGTCACTGCGGCCTTTAGCGTTGGCGGCGTACACGACGATGTGGAAGTTGAGGCCGGCACCCAGGCCTGCCACCTTGAACCACGGGGCCCGTGACGTCACGTTACTGACTAGAGCGTGGCTAGTGACGTCATACACCTCCATGACGAACACCTGAGGTAAACCGCCGTCAAAGCCTGCATCACACTCTACTTGCACTGTCTCTGCCGTCTGGTTCACCAGGGTGCAGTTACTCAGGCCGTCTGGCTTACCTGAGCAAGAGATAATACAATTCAATTACCATATACATAGAAAAAAACAACTCATCCCCAAAGAATCTCAAAATGTTGCCTATTCCATACTTTATCTAAATATCGTTCCATCCTGTATGTTGCAATTAGAGTTCTACTACGGCACTACAATTATTTTTCCTACAGTCATCCGACAAAGTGGGCTTCCTTGCACAGATTATAGTACAGAAAGCCATACTTTGGCACACAGTTTTTACTTTGGCGCACATCAGTATTCCATCCAAACAAACCAAAACAGCGTGCCTTTACTGTCCTCGTAATCAATGTACGCTTGAAAAGATGGCAACACTTTTACGACTACGATCAGCTGGTGCAGCGTTTCCTATTTCGTTCAATGTTGATTTAACCAAATCTAAAAACCTGTCGTATAGTGTTTGAAAGACTAATTATTTATATGATTTATAGTAACTGTATGAAAAGTATAATGTGTAACACAAGTGCTAACTGCCTTTGAACTCGAGATACATTCTACACTCGCCTACGGCTCGTACGTAAGCATTTCTTCCGTGTGCAGCAAAGTGCCTCTTTGCCCACTAGTTACACGAATAACCACAATTGTTTTACATAAATTGTTTTGTGTACTGTCATAAATCGTAATTTCTTTGATAATGCAATGCATTCACTTTAAATAATACCATTGTATACAATGCATGTCCAAAACAAATTTTACTTAACAATATTTGAATATTTTGTGTATAGTTAGGTTATGTTAGCTCAGATTGGAATGGATATTGGCAAATAACACAAAAACAGGTCTGGAAGAAGTCCTACAAAGAAGAATTTGATACTTCAATTGCAGTCCCGATTTGCTTTACTTTCAATACTAATGACGATAGTAACGAACGTACTTTTACCATTGTTATGGCATAAGTGTTTACACGTTATTTTAAACGTATGAGCACTATTACATGCTCGTAAGACGCGCTGTCTAGAAGTCCATGTTTTTAACACATTTTATATTAGTAACGAGTAAATTTTAGATACCGCAAATAGTCTAACACACTTTATCACTTATAAGAGATTTTTCGTTACTTAAAAAATCCTGAGTACTTAAAATTGTATATTTAAAATAGATATATTTTTAGAAAAAGGACACATCATGTCACACATCAAATAACACAATCAGTATTTAAAAACATTAATTAATTAGATTTGAAGCACTATCTCATATATAGGTGTTCTCCGTCTAGAACCTATTATATTAAGACAACCGATTATTTTCTGTGGGATATCGGTATGTTAATTCACAAGATATCGCATATGACTTACGTATACTCTGAGCAACTTGGGAGTCAGTATCTGTTGTGCTAATGCCGGAACGCCTGAAGCTGTTAGAAATTGTGTTCAATACTGAGCTTCAAGACTGCGCTTCCTATGAGCACGAAATGCCCCATATAATGCATTGCCATGGTTAAAGATATTTTTCATTTACCCCTACGTAAAAATCATACCATTCTAAGTAGTAGACACTTTCTTGAATGTTTTAATTTCGAATAGTCAAGCCGTCTTTTAATAATAAACAAGATATATAAATTACAGTGATCATTTGGCAAAAACTTTTGTAGAAGTTATCTATAGCCTACTATTGTAAAATTGAGGTGGTTTCTGTCTGTCTGTCTGTCTGGGCAGCTGTCAGGACTAAAATACTAAACCGATAAAGCCAAAATTAAGCACAAAGATGGTCCACATATTTAGGAATGTCATAGGCCCATTCCCTTCCCTGAGTTCCTCTTGGGATACGCTCCTTGGATGTCCAAAGTTTTGAGGTGAGGTTTTCAAAAGTAAATATTTAATCTCCATGGAAGCATGAGAAATTTCACAATGCTTACCTTTGCGTTGACAAGTTAAACAAGCAGATCTGCCAAATTGCTTATTCAGCATTTATTTCAGACAGCTGATCGAAATAAATTAAATATCATATTTTACACAGCTATGTGACAGATTTATTTATTATTCTTTTTTGTCATTAGCTATTTATTCTAAAGCTATGTGGTTGATTATGGAAATAAAATACCATAAACAAATTAATTATATCATTGATTAAGGATAAAAACGATTCAATAACTGTTGCGTTATCAGCCCAGGACCAGCTTTCGATTTGTTAAAGTGTTAAATAATGAAATTAATATTATTGATATATTTTCATGAAAACAATAGGGCAATCAATGACAATGTGGGTTATACTTTTTGTATAAATTTAGTGGTATTTGTTTATAAATTCAAACTACTGAACAAGTGTTTGGATTAGGCGGTACTCATCTTCCCGTTGCGAAACACGGGTACAGCAGCTAGTAAAGCTATAAAATTGAGTGCTCTCTCAAAATTACTTTTGTTTGGGATGAAAACTACTACAACTAAACGAATGGTCTAGCAATGCGTTCCCTAACTGTCACACAAACTCACTGATTTATACTCGACTGCATTGGGGCAAACTATATTTTTCCGCTGCTATACGTATTGTATAACGATTGAATACACGTGTATAGATATGTTTATACAACTTTGATTGTACTCTATTTGAGTAAACCTTATTGAAACTTATGCAAAGGGCGTTTTAAAAAGGTTAAATTAACCATAAATGACAATGAAAGTTATGTTATAAGCATCCTATATACAGGAAAGGACTGATACTAACCATTTTAGGACCAAGGACTAACACATTTTCGAGTTAGTTGGTGTTTCGTAATGATTTACGATAAAAAATGAAATATATTTATATATTTTTTTTTATATAACATTTTTTGCAATCCTTCTACTTTTCACAGAAAATAAAACCTGAGAACCCCTTCTTACGGTAAAATGAAGTCAACAAATTTATGATTGACAGACCTATGAGTGTGACACTATATCACGGGACTTGAAACCTAAGGGTTGAGTGACGGGTATTAAACTCATTACTGTTTAAAATTGTTAACAAGCTAATGATATCCAACTAACAATACCAAGGTCAAATAGCATCGTGAACCATTAAATAAAACCAGTTTAACTAGTATTAACACCAATCATCTTAAATGAGTGCGTGAGATTTCACTAAAGCGCTTACAAATCATGCTACGAATTTTTAAGGCTTTCAAGTTGATAATGGATACATTTAGGGTGGACCGTGTTAAATTAAACTAACCGATAGATTCACTCGTTGACACAGCCAAGTCCTGCGATAGGTATTTCAATCGATAGTATTTATGTGTATGTCTTCCTCTTCAATAAGCAGTATTTACGTTTAAAATTACTATCGCAGCTTAGAAACTCTATTTCAGGTATTTCCTAGTCCTGAAGGGAAATTTTTCAACTGGAATTCCGCCAAAATACGTGACCCTGTTTGTTATTTTGGTAATGCTTTAAGGGTAAATAAATAAATATTTCTGTATATATCATTCCCGCTCTGTAACTTGTGTATTGTCTTTTATTAAGAGACTAGTAATTTCGTGAGAGATTTCTAAAATGGTAACAAAACAATAAGTGTATTCAACCTAATATTAACAAAATTGTATGTAAAGAAATATGTTTACCTTCGTTTTGCCAATTTCCCATACAGAGAATAAGCTTAATAGCTTATACAGTAATCCGTAGCTCTCATAAGTGAGACCTGAACCCGGAAAAAAATTTAAACTTAAAATTCCCATGTTAGTCTTGTGAATAAAATGAAAACTGATATAGTTTACTTGTTTATGGATATATGTTAATCAAATTTAGCAAATGTAATTATTTCATAATATATTATAAACTTTTGGTCAAAAAACAGTTTTTACCTTCCCCGTAGCAGCAATCCTAAGCAATCAATAAATCTAATGTTATTTAAATTTGGAATAAATATGTCCTATTTCTGGAAATATTTAACTAAAAATGTAATCAAACAAGTTGAAATTCGCTTAGTCTGCAGGTTTGCTGTGGTGGCGGTATTCTTAATAGTCAATAGTAATATCCACAATAACAAGCAATACAATAAATTACGCGGATTTAAATCTGTTGACAAAGCGTATAAAATTAACAAAATTAATAATTAATATGGTTGGTATAACTAATAAAACTAATATATAAATAATATGTAACATTGAAGGAACAATATAAAAGCCATAAACCAAGAGCCATGAATTCATTATTTCTCTGGCTGCCAACTGCTTAAAATATTGTGGCCATTACTTTTTGACCCCCTTTTACAATGCAACTTTTTGGATAATAAGCATATTTTATGTGCTGTAAAAGGGTGGTGACAGAAGATAAATATTTTTTAGAAGGGATATAAATCTTAAACAATGGATTATAACTTTTATAACATTGGAAAATGTATAATCATCCAAAATGTAGTTTATAGTAGTAAAAGATACCTTAGTGCCTTAGTAAAGCGAACCACTAGGACAGAAAAACAATCAACTCAGCTTATTTTAGCCAGTTTTTAAATCATCTGCATGTTTAATAGACTATCTATTTGGAGATTTTATTACAGTTCATATTTGGGATGGTAAGTTCGTTTGCAGTAATCTACTTTTATGATTATGTAACAAATTTGAAAAACAAAATATATAACTTTTTTAAATAAAATTGTAAAAATTGTTATTTTCATATTATATTTTTTTACAAGTAAGTTTTATGTAGTATAATGCTACATAGCATAATGTTATATATTATAATGTCATATATTATAATGTTATATAGTATAAGGTAACATATTATGTTACAAAATTAATATTTTTATATTATATAACTATATAACGTAAGTTCACAGTGCACATTAAGACAAAGAAGAAGGAAGGATGAGGGGGTATGAGAGGGTTTTTAATCTTGAAAACCCATTTCTATCGTAGGTAAATGTTTAAAAAAAAATGCGAGCATGGCAAAGAAAACTGCTAACACATTTTCACCTTCGTAAAATTTTCAGATGACATACTATTAAAACCCCATTCAAGGTTATCATTTTACTATCCTTCAGGGTTTATAAAATAAAGTTTTGACAAAAAATAATCTTTTAACAGTATTAAGTTTGAGTAAAACGTATAAAATAACAAAAACTAGGCAGGTTTTTATTGATATAAAAAAATATGTAAAGCTATTTATGAAAATTTGATACTGTATATTCATTTATAAATTATTCACTGCATTTAGTTAATAAAAAAATCGTTAATAGGGATGCAAGACTCCAATCAGAGTCGTTTGTAATGATTTAAATATAATAGACAATATTAAGTAAACAAAATATTCAAAGGATACTTTCTTTGATAATATCAAGTATTGTTTGTTCGGATGTGTGTTAAGTAATCTTGGATCATTCTTTGTGAGTAAATATATTTATAGGCTATACTAAGAATGGCCATATTGCTTGTTTAAAATAGATAAATAGTGTACGATGGAAGACTAGATTAGACTCTTCCCCTATTATAGGATCTGAGAGTATACAAACTTTTAATAAATGACAAATTAATTAACTTGATTGCAAACATTGCTAGGTTTTTGACAAGTAAGCTTAATTAAATGAACATAAAAACCCATGTCTGTATAAACATGTTTTTAAGAATGGTATCGCAGATTTTTTTTGAAAAACTAATTGAGAATTATACGTCTAAATATCTTTTTGGTCACAGTTCCAAGGTATATTTTTTGGTACAAATTGATATTTTAGGATGTTTAAAAATTTAATTGATCAGACGATTTAATTGGTATGATTACCATTTTGTCTCAATTAGTCAATTCTAGTTTCCGAATCATTCTGAATTCCTCAGTATTTTCTGTATTTTTTATTTACTAAAATACCGCGGCCGTTAATCTTGCGTTTCATTTAAAACAAAAAAAAAACAATAAATTAAAATGGAAAGCAACTCTAAAATAAGGTAAGAGTCTTTTACCAGCAGGTATGACGTGAATTACACAGGCAGTCCTTTGTTCGCCAACGCTGTTGGAAGCCAGACACAGCAGAGAGCCGTAGTCAGCTTCTGTGAAGGGTTTGTAGACCAACACGCTGCGAGCCGCCTCCACAGTGTAGCGGTCTCTAGGCACCTCGCCCGCCCCCGCAGCTGTGCCGCCCCCAGTGGTGTTGAACAGCCAACGGTAGCTGGCAGCTGGTGGTGTCGTATCCACCTCACAGAGGATGCGGGCGTCCTCGTACCTAGCCACCTCCACCACCGCAGGCACGGCCCACTTGCAGACAGGAGCGACTGTTCAGAATATATGGACATTTGTTAATAATGTTTCTTCATTAAAATTATAATTATAAAGCAGCATCTACAAAAGAGTTTTACCCCGTTTTCATCCGTCCTATTATTTATACTATTTTAAAGCTTATGATCTAGCAGAATGAAGTATATTTAAAAAGGCAATTGACTTCAAGCCTTCGCCCCCCAGAAAACTGATTAACTATAAATTTGTAGTTATATTCATCAAAAAACTACTGTCTAAAACAAACATAATTGTTAAAAAGGTAAAAGAGCATAAAATTATTTGTGTGGTCTGGAAAATTTTTCATCTCTATTAAAATGCACAACTTGTGCACGCCCCCCATTGTTTTTTAATAGTCTAAGAGAGTAATTTGAGCAATAAAAATTGCTACACAAAACCCTTATAATTAAACCACATGTGTGCTGTCAACGTCACAGGCAAGTGTAAACTATCGGAAAATAAAACTCAGGTGAAATAAATTAAATTCATTTTTTGATGTTTCTAAAACATGTGTTGCTAGTATTTTAGGTAGTTTACCATACAGGCTTTAAGAATACATATTTTCATGTTTATTTTTATACGTCTACATAACAAAACTAACTACTACTGATTAATTACTAACCACTGACCAATTACTCAATTAGTCCAATATAATAAATATGAAGTTTGCCAAAAATATGAATTCATGTTTTATACGCAGTAAAAGTTAGCCAGAAAGTAATACCTAAAGAAATTGATTACACAACGCGAAGAATTAAGCCAAATTTGATTTGATTGTCACATCAAAATAATGTAACACTAAATATGCCATCTAATTTAGGTTTTGATGTAGGTTTGTTGGTTGGAAAAAATGTTACTGAGTTAACTACCACGACGTGTTGTGTTCTTGTACCAGAACACCTATGCAATGATTGAATGAATAATAATAATGGACGTCTAAGTGTAAAACGTGACACATCTTTTATTAATTCCTAACTCAAGCCACTATATGCAATTAGTATGCAGGTTTACAGCAATAGGAGTGCGCTTATATTGTTAAAAAAAATATCACTTGCTAAATATATTGCTTGATTGGCATCACTTCAATACAAATCCGTTAATCTAGGAATACTAGGTTCTTCGTGTTACTAAAATGTTAAAATCACTAAAATGTCAATCCAAAAAAACTTTACAGCCCTCTCCCCCCTTATACAAACCTATTAAACCTATTTATTACGGAATATTTCATAAAGTATTTTGAACTACGAGTGTACTTTAGTTCAATACAGTGGACAGCTCTTTTGTATGGAACGGCTGATCTAAATGTTTCTTTGACATTATTTATTTACTGTTAGTTTCTCATTTACGTAATTTTAAGCCGTGCCCACTCACAGTTGATCTGCAGGTCGACCACGTTGCTGGTGCCGTCGCCCTCCTGGTTGCTGGCGATGCACGTGTATTTCCCAGAGCGAGCTCTACTAACGTCCTGCAGGACAAGGCTCTGGTTGCTCACCATAATCCCCTCCACTGGACGGTTTTTCATCAGTTCTCCCTGTACATTGGAATAACAAAAGTCATTACAGTGCTGCCTATTTATTTATACTGCTCAACTATAGCTTTATGTGTATCAAACACTAATTATATTAACATGACCTAAAAATATTTTGTAGTTTGGTTATTGTTCTTGATGTTGTTGTTTATTAACTACTGATGCGCAATGGCATAATTTAGGCATCTTCAAAGTATTTACAATAGACTACTAAAAATTAAATATCATTGTTGTTGGGATTGTAGTTTAAAATCTTATTCACTTATCTATAGATTTTAAAACTACAATCTTAACAATTACTTAGCTCTTAAAACTCGAGTTTTGTTGTTACCTCTCAAATTCAAATTACAAAAGTGATATCGAACTTAATCTTCCTCTGGTAGCCTATTTTACAAAGCAACGAATGTTAAATAAATATACTCAGAACATACAATAAGCTAAAGATTATCCTTGAAGCAAAAAAGTGGACATTGAAAACGTTAAAGTTTACTTCCTTCCAATCGAAAATATTTGCTGTTATAAAATCGAAAATACATAAATTATAATAAGCCTTGCCTTTGTTTACTTACATTGTGCTGCCAACTGACTCTGTATATCCAGGGGTTAGATTTGACGTTACATTCAAAAAATACATCCATGCCTTCAGTGATTGCACTAACATTAATGTTGCTGCTCAGTTCTAGGGTCACCACTGGTACATCTGAAAACATGTGGATTTTATTTGTATAACATATAAAAAATGCATACCTACAGTACCCTAGGTAAAAAACACAGTGTAGTTTTTGTCTCAAATAACTCCTTTCCTAAAATAGAATCACAGAGAAAATTTAATGTAGGATTGACTTTGTGGAAAATAATGAAGTGAAATGTATTTTACAGTAGATGTTGTATACATTAGATGCAAATTATCAATAAATATGATTACAACCTTACACTAATTTGCTGGTTTCTTAATACGAGAAATCTCGTATTTCTAGTGAATTTTACTTACGGTAGACGATCAGTTTCCAACCATCTTCCAGTGCACTTTCCGGAATCAGGGGCGTCTCAGCCCTACAACTGAGGAATTTTCCAGAGTCCTCCATAGTCGGTATGAACTTCAGAGTGCTTATCGTCACGTTGCCTTCACTGGTCGTCTGCAATATACACATAGGGCTGTATACATATAAACTACCTACTATATATGTTTAAAGTTTTGACCTAAGCACTGAATTACTTGTTTATAAAACCAAGACAACTTAAATTTAAATACTATTTCACATTAATAATAAGATCCATAGTTTAAACATTCTTGATATTAATTAAAAACATACCTAATCCTAAATACCTAACTTATTACCATTTTGAGCCAACTGTAAATTTAAAAAAGGTAATTATTTTAACCAATGGGAAAATGTTCTTGAGTCAACAATCGACATTTCGAAAGGGTTGTACTATTATAATTTGCACTATGAATTAACTCAATAACTAGGTTAGTAAACAAATGCATGCAACCATGTATTTGTTGTCAAATTTAATACATAATATAGAAATATTCTAGTTTCAATTTTAATAAAAACATTAATACTGATTTTATGTATTAGTGCTTTTAGTGTTAAAAAATCAACATAAAACTATCTTTAAAGTAAAGGGATAGTTTATGGTGAAGATTTATAAGCTTACGTTACCTTATGTGTTCAAAATTATATTTTTGTTGTTCTCTTGAAAGTAATACGAGCTTATTTGCTTAAATATAACAGGTGTAAGCAGGAAAGTTGATATGTTTACACTTATGTTAATTATTTTTTTATAAAATGTTTAGGAAGAAAGCTTAGGGTAATGGTGATAAAATTTTGAATGAATGAGACAGTCTTATACAACTACATAGCCTAGATATCTGCATATACGTTTTTAATTGTATAAAAATCTCAAAAAATACAATCGTAATAATGATGAGTGGTTTATGCTAAAAATAAATATAGTTGTAGGCCAATATTGGTGTATATAGATGGTTATTGAACCATACTCAAAAGCAGAGTTGATATACAATCACTATCAAGGTAGGTGTCATTGGAGCACCACAGTATGGACGTGATTGTATGGATTGTATAGAGTAGAGAAGAGAGGACAATGGCGAGAGCGTATATCACTCTCCATCACCAACAGCACTAGCCACTCCAGTGGCCGGGCAAATTGTTTTATCGCTTGAAATTAATGAAATAATAACTCTAGTGATGAAATGTATGTAGTAATGAAGTGATCATTGAGTGTCGTAATAAATATTTATTTAAGTAAACATTTTGTGAATGTAGCTTCTATTGTATTTATATGGCATTAAGTTTAGTTTGTATTTCACCAGCAGTCTAGTAATTGTAGTTTAGTTTGTTGCAGCTAAAATCCTCGTTACTGTGAAAATCTGGCTTAAAACGTATTAATATCAGACAATTGTGTTTCAATCAATGTTTACAAATTTGTATTTTTATTAAAACTCTGTTATTTCATTTACGTAGACCACCCCTATAAAACTTACTTTAGTTTTGATATACTTTTCCTAACCCTATAACTGGTTAGGCTAACATTTCTTACATAATATGAATTATAGATTGTAATGATATATTTTTAAAGCACTTTAAAATTTGAATGCACAAGTGTTTGTAGTCGTGACATCAGGTTATCAGTTACCTAACAGTTAACAGTTACCTATTGTTACTGTTATTATTGGATGTTACCACTGTTAAGGTTTGCATAGTTTATTTCGTGTTTCGTTGCTGCATTGATCTCTAGTCATGATTAGATTTAGTTTTCCTGACACTGATGTTGCTTTTGAAATGTTAAATAGGTGTGGATTCAAGTTTTCTGTTAATACGCTTGTTGTTAAAACACGGTCATTATGTATCCACATTGTATTGGCAATCTTGCCATTGGAATAAATAAATAAACCTTCGGAAATCGTTATGGAATAAAGCATATGACGTGATGTAAGAATTATATTTGTTTTCCACTTTACATGAAGGTATAAATTAGCATCTTGAACCTAAGTACGAGACAGATCGTGATATCCTCAGCATACACTAACGTATGAGGGGTTCTGGACCGCTTTCCCTTAAAAACTTTAAGTTTATTTCCAAAATAAATGCCAATGGTATACAAATCTGCTGCAATTATAATTTCTTAAAAGCAATGAAAATCGCGGAAAAATAAATTTCCCTTTCAATTCGAGATCTAGAATGACCTAGACATTGTTTATAGTCTTAAACGTCAGTGTAAAACCTTTATGGTTTTTTGTCTAACCTTAATATCCTAGGATGCTGGGTTCTAGGTAGGGACTGTTTTACACATATTTTTGTAATCAACCTTAAACTTAGGTCTACAATGGAAACTCCATGTACAGTATCGAAACTTAAATTCATTAATTATAATACAAAACTGATAGTAAAAAAAAGAAAAGGGTTCACAATAAATTGTACAAACAGTGGGAAATGAATTTACTTTAAAATCTTTAGGCTAGGCCTATTACAATGGTTGTTATGTTTTTGCACTTTAAATTTTACCTGTTGTTGTTATCTATGCGCCATATTATTATGTCTTTTGCATCTTATGCCTGCTTCTCATTTTCATTCTTATTTATTGCACTATTTTAGTAGCCTGTACCTAATTTTTGCTATGTTTTTTGTTTGTCTTACACTTGAATTGTTTCAGCCTATTAATGTATTTTTGTATGTCTTTATACTAGTTATGTCTTTTACATTTCATGTCTGCTTTCTAATTTATTCTTATTATTGCTCATATTTATTACCAATTATGCTATGTTTATAAAGTGATTAATCCTATTTAATGTATATTCCAATGTAAAAATGGTGTTACCGTTGAGAGAGAATAAATAAATAAATGGTTTTAATTTAGGTTCAAGTGTTATAGCTTACTGCAAGGATCTTTATCTCAGGTGGGGTGATCGAGCGGCATTTGAATTTAATCTTGTGATATAAGCCTAATTAAATTTTGTTTTAAAATATAAAGTATGTTCGAATTATATATTGGTTGAATTAATAATAGTTCTGAATAAGTTAAGCTTCTATTAGTTCTTGACTTTGAATTTGAGTACAAATGTCCAAAGGTTAGGCCTAAAAAAAAATTTTAATGGCTTCCAAAGGGAAAAATGTCTATTGGAGTGATCTCACCAAAATTGATGTCTTATTTGCAGCAAAATTCTTGATGTTATAAATGATTAATGTTCGTAACAAGGATGGGTCTTCTTTCAACAAATTCCACTAATTTTGTCCTAAAAATGTACTTTTTTTATAAAATTTTTATATTAAATATGTAGTATCCAATTTACATCTTCATACTATCTTGGCTCTATTGGAAGTGATGAAGGTCTGATGCATTGTTGCACTCACATATGTCAATGCTGACTTAATCACATAAAATTGTAGGCCACTGTTTACACATATATATTATAACAAATTTCATTTGCTATAGGGCTATATTATAATTTTGAAAAGTTATTTAAATAAAATTATATTGAATTTGAAGCAATTTTGTTACAAAAATTATAGGCTATTATATATTTACATGAAATTATGTTATTTGAAAATGTCTATATTATATTGTATTAAATTGATTACCTATTGGTCTGCATGGACAATTAATTACTATATATGGTTTGAAAAGGGATTGACATTTAGATAAAATGAAAAACATATGGTGGAAATTAAATTATTCTATTAAAAAAATAGTTGTGAAAATATTGAATTGTTACATACTTCAGGCTAGTCTTAGACGGTCGCGGCATTATCACAAATATGATATCCCATCTTTAGGTGATAGGCGGGATATGAACTCATGGCCTCGGGCTCCGATGCCCAGTGCTCTATCACTAGACCAGTCCACTCCCCAAAACAATTATAGCATCAATTATTATTATGAATATATCAGTAAGTTCACTTTGAAAGCTAACTAAATCCATCGCAAGGATTGTTTTTAAAAATAACCCCCTTCAAATAAGTTATATCAAACTTATTATTTCAAACCATAGTCTTTAATTTTAGAATCGTCAATTTTATGTATATACCGTGATAGCAACTACCTTACAATTTACAGCAAACTATACCCTAGGCTACATTTTTCGACCATGTGTATATCAAGACACGAGGTCAACATGTGTTTTATTGATGTTAGTTTGTACTAGAATGCTTCTACAGCCCTCACCTTCTCCCTAGTGTTACGGAGAGCGACGCTGCCCTTCCACCAGCTGATCACAGGGGGAGGTCTAGAGCCTACAGCACGGCATGATATCTCGTAGCTCTGATTGGCTGACATAGCTACGTTCTCCCCCTCCAGCTGTACGCTGATTGGTCGCACTGAAAACAGACCACCAGAAAGATAGATTTCGTATACAGCCTTCTACACCCTTTTATATTGAAGGTTATGTATGGCCATGAATCTGGATTAAGGAAATACTTGATATACACAATGAAATGATATACAAAGTTGTATAAAATTGAATTGTAGTTGTAATCTAACTCAATTGTTAATTGTTACGGCAAGATAATTGTTTTTCAAATAGCCTGCATCGGTCGTAATTATTGTATAGGCCCTACTCTTTCGTTAATTGAATATTGACTGTGGAAATGGACGACAGACCTAAATGCAGGGTGGGTACTTCAGTATTAAACGGAGGCCACATTTTGTCAGCGCGCTGCTTCGGTTATGTTAGGTTGGGTTATCATAATAGAAAGTATCGTTCGATTCATAACGAAGCGAGGAAAGTCCTACACACATAATATTTACGATAACCCAACCTAACATAACCGCCGCAGCGCGCTGACAAAATGTGGCCTCCTTTTAATACTGAAGTACCGCAGGGTGTTTTAAATATAATGCCATTATTTTAAATATCCGTAATTTTTCCTAATGGATTGTGAACAAATATAAACTTTTATTCAAATTCAAATGATTTTATTGGGCCAAAAATTATTATACATTATAGAAACGATAATGCACAATTAAACAATTCCCATGTAATAGGAGACACAATTAATAAAGTAATCTAAAGATGAGTGTATATCTAAGATAAATGTTTTGTTTACTCCTATTATCCTGAATAATAGGCCTATAAAATTTGTTTAATTGTTTTAGGTGTATGTGGCTATCCAACTAGAAAAGTGAACCGTACTCAAGATTTTAGTTGCTTATTCTAGAGCTCGTGCAGGTCACAATGCTAGTTCGATAGCCTTAGGTAAGTCAAAACTATAGTAATGCACATAAATCGTTTAGTAAAACTGCTGATAAATAAATTACACCATTCGCATCTGCTTTCAAAAACGGTTTTGACGAGACAAAATAAAATTGTAATTTAATCATATAGAACATATAACGAAGTTTTTAAGTGTTGTTAGTTATGCAGCGTTATGAGTGTTCAAACGAAACCATTTTCCATTTTTAGCAAAAATAATAATAAATTATAAATAATTATACATTTTAATTAAAACGTCAACGAATATTTGCACTTAAACTGTTACCTAGGAGGACGGTAAATACACAAAGGATGACAAGCGGGGATCAATTTTGATTGGACACTCCAATCAACATCAACGATGATGATTCGTCAATTATATCTAAGGATAATTCGAGTGTGCAATCAAAATCGGTTCCCGCCTATCATCCTTTATATGTATTTATTGCCTTGTGAGTCTACAGTATAAGTCTAATCATATGTTACATTTGTTACATTGTTGTTATTGCCTTGTGAGTCTACAGTATAAGTCTAAACATATGTGACATTTGTTAACAGATATAATTATTTTGGATAATAATACCTCTAAATTCAATAACACGTACAATGCTAATCGGCAAGTTGTTAAATGCCGATCAAAAAGCTATTTATTTATAAGTTACTAACAATCAAAAGAAACGCATTATACACAACATATAATATTTTTGTCATTAATAAACCCTAAATTTACCTTAATTGCAAATTGTATCTATCTTTATCAAGCAAAAGTTTATTTATTTATTCATTCATCGGCAGTCAGCACCATGTACAGGGTGAAAGCACATAAACAGTAATACATTCACATTTACAAGATCAAGGATGCATATTTTTTTTTATAATTAGTAAATTGGAGTACAAATAAGCATACTCGTATGTTAAGATTGTCTAAGAATATGAAGCATTTAAATAACAACATAAATTACAAAAACTGAACAAATTGTTTTTATTGTTACATTAATTATTTGTTATATTTTAAAGCTAAAAACAAAATGCGTATATTAATATTCCATTGGACAAACCAAACGGTTTACCTACTTGGTCGACAACAATGCAATTTAATTCCACGGATATAAATGTCCTCGCTGAGAGATTAAATCTAAATCGATGTAAAATGCATTTGGATTACTCTGTACGAAGATTAGATTGATTTTAAAGTGACAGCAGTGTAAACCGAGGGGATTGCCGTTTCAATATGAAGAGTGACGTTTAAATGCACGATCAGACTCGTGTAATTTAAAACCTAATCCTACTTACTTAGTAAACAAATTGTTTAGTAAAGTGTTGGTTGAAAGAGCCTTTTATATATTAACTTATCAAGCAAAACACCTATGACTTTCTAAAACCTATAATTATCTTAGAATATGTGCCCTTGTGCATTCAAATGCATTTTTTAAAACTGAAACTTGACAATCTCTTAATTTGTTCTTCAGGAACATGCACAATTTTATATTGGGATTCTACTGTAACAGTTTGTGAAATAATAGTTTAAGAAAACTTTCTATTTTGGGCAGATAGCTTTTCAAAAACTTCAAGTGACCACCATGAAAATATACTATCCATTTGTTAAGTCGTGGAAACTGTTTATTAAATTGCAAAATTATGAAATTTCTATAATCCTTTTAATATTTTGATTATTAACTCTATTTTTTATGTAATAGGTATTTGTGTATCTCATCCTAGCTCTGCGCCAAATTTTCCCATTCACCACAACTAATGAATACATTTTATAAATAAATGCAGTTAAATGTTTTATATGTTAAATTTTACTCATTAATTGATTACCAAAATTTCACTAAGTAACTCTTTAAAAGATTTTATAGGGGTAATAATAGATAGTTAATAGTAGATAGTGGATAGTAGATAGTAGATAGTAGATAGTAGATAGTAGATAGTAGATAGTAGATAGTAGATAGTAGATAGTAGATAGTAGATAGTAGATAGTAGATAGTAGATAGTAGATAGTAGATAGTAGATAGTAGATAGTCGATAGTAGATAGTAGATACTAGATAGTAGATAGTAGATAGTAGATAGTATATAGTAGATAGTAGATAGTAGATAGTAGATAGTAGATAGTAGATAGTAGATAGTAGATAGTAGATAGTAGATAGTAGATAGTAGTTAGAATAATAGAGATACGATTGAAAGGTATAACCACCCAACAAAAAAACAGATAATGGATTTGCTCATAAATACAAATATGGTTTCACTAGTACTTAGAGTTCGAAACAATTTAAATAAATAAGAACAGCCTAGGTTTATATTTAAAGAAATAACAATTTTTATAGCGCCTTAAAAATTCATTAAATTGCTTAGTTTAAAACTCTACTGAAATAAGTTGCAGCGCTTGTTGCCACAAAAGATATATTTTTACTGTGAGTACACGAGTGAACAACAATGTTTTCAGCAACCTTGTCTTGGCCAATCCATCGTCTAAGACAGCAAACTAAACCGTGGGAAGCAATGCATTGAGAATCCAGCTGTCGAGTAGAGTCTTAACACTTAAGTGAAAAGCAGACAATATTGAGTCGTACATCTCAATCTCCGTGAGATGTATTCTATGTATTATCACTAAGTATTTTAAGACGGTTACTATTTTTCGTTTGTCTGTTTGTATTGTCAATCTTACACATGATGGCACATGATCAAATGGAATAAATTTTAACAATATTTAATATAATAAAATTTAATTTACTTTGCTTGATAGGTAATGTATTCTTCATACTGTAAGAGAAATTTCGGACTTCAAAGATCATTAGGTCATGACGAATTAGGATATATATTAAGGTATTAATATTAAGATACCTCGGGTAGGTCTATCTCGTATATTTAACTAAACCAGTGGCTGATCATATCGAGAGCAGCAGTAGCACTATACAGTATAGAACATAGCTATGGATATTGTTTCCCGATTCATGTAAACAGAAAAAGGTTTGGAAACATAGTTTCGCTAGGGAAGTTAAGAATATCTTACTGACTTAATGTGATTTAATATTGACTAAACATAGTATTTTTTTCAACAAAATAAATTTAACTTGCTTTAGCTTTTGACAACTTTTTATCTACGGTTTGGGAATTATTATAATTCTGTTTATTTGAAATGAAATATAAATAAACATTTGGAAATATAGCCTCTGGATCGTTATTGAACATGATTAAATCTAAGGCTTAACTTACTATCCAATTTTATTATAGTGGAGACCTAGGTTTCTAGTTCGAAACGTTATCGTCAGTCCTTTGTCTCATAGGCTTGTTAAACTTTTTGTTTGCCATCTCTTACTTGAGACATTGTCGATATAGTATCGATATCCCAACCTCGGAGGTTATGTTTGATAAAGATCATGGCCATGCATCTACGTTGTTTTAATATATGTCTTTGTAAATATTTATATGTGTTCAATGTTTGTACAAATTATACTATATCGACAATGTCTCAAGTAAGAGATGGCAAACAAAAAGTTTAGCAAGCCTATGAGACAAAGGACTGACGATAACGTTTCGACGTAGAAACCTAGGTCTCCACTATAATAAAATTGGATCGTAAGGTAAGCCTTAGATTTAATCATAAATAAACATGTATTATCTTGATATTACATTTTTAATATACATTTTTTACGTAGTTTACTTTTACAGTTACATGTTTAAGTTGTTCCTCTTCTTATGTTTTGTCTTTAAATTATTGTACGTTCTAAAAGGAGGATTACTTAACAACACCTACTCGTTTTGCCTACAATGTTTTTTCTTGGCCAATTATTTTGTAATAAATAGTGTTAACAGGATAGCTTTTTGTGTATATTTTGACAGTGGCAAAAATAGTTTGTGCTCGTAATACTCACAAGATTTTTCCTACCACCATAGTTAATTTAATATCACAAAGATTAGTCTTACTTTTTTGTTAGGCTTGCTAATTTAATTGATGTTATTTACCTACATGTTAGTGTTTTACACGTCAAAAGTAAAATCTGTTGATTTAGCAAGTGGGAACGGTCATTCCCACTGATAATGAAAAATGCGGAATAAGCTATTTTGAGCTTTTTACAAGTGTGGCAATGTGACCATTTCCATGCAGTGGTAGGAAAATATAAATTAGTAGTGTATATAAGAGGTGAACATATAACTTAATATTTGTGTTGTTAACTCACAGTTGAGGTCTAGTGTGACAGCGGACGTGATAGGTGCCACGTAGTTGTTGTTGGACGCCTGACACGTGTAGACGGTGTGAAGATGACGTCGCTCCAGCCGCTCAAGATGGAGGATGTTGCGCACACGACGCTCGGACACTGCCTCGAACGTGTCGTCCAGCAGCGCGTTCTCTTGCCACCACGTCACACGTGGCAGAGGGCGACCTGTCATCAATATCAGTGTGTAACTATGACAAAGCTATTGTTGTGTTGGTTGTGTTAGTGTATGCTATTGATTGTCGCCTTTTATACTTTGTGACAGAACATTGGGTACTTATCCAAAAAATTTGGGAGGATTCACTATAAAGAACATTTTGAACGTAGTTGGGTTTATCTGGGATATCCTATATTCTAATACGAGCTATGTATGTTTGTCTGTCTGTCTGTATATATCTCGAAATCCAGCAGAAGGATTTCGTCCAAATTTTTGAACTTAAGACTTTTAGTCCTTAAACGTGATTGGTGACAGCCACTATCACATGAAAATTTGTATTTCTCTACACAATTAATTTTAAATTTTGAAATTTAACATAGGCCAAATAGGTTTTCAAGTATTTATGTTGGTTTAACAATAAGAAGGATATAAGAAAGAAAAAGTAAACAAAAAATGTTCACATGTGTTTATAACAAACCTTCCTCAGTACACTAGCAAATTACAATATACAGTACAAAGGAAAAACACATCAGTTGTAAATATTGAGCAAAGATTACACAAAAGATTATTCTATATGGGGGAAAATATCCTAATGTAAAAAGTCAGAATTTCAATTTCTTTAAAAGTAGTAGTGAAAAGAGAAAAATTATTGTCACAAGCCATTTTGAAACATCAGTACTGTAATATGATTTTGTTTGTATCATATTTTTATCCGATCATCTGTTGAGGTAAGTGTAAAAGTTGAACCACGGGTTTCAATGACTAGAAGGGAGAAACATTCTGTTCGAGTAGCACTTAAACTTAAACAGGATCATAAAAGTGTACATTGTTTTTGTTTACTTGCATACTTTTAAATTACAGAGTTGTTATTATTTTTTAGCGACCAAATGACTATGGTTTGTAATAAAAATGTTTTAGTAAATTACAAAATGTCTGTTTACGATATTGTTTCAACAATTAAACCCAAATACAACCGAGCAAGGCTCGGTCCCCGGTACTACTTATAATAGTATTTCTAACCACCAGATATCCGACACACGAATGTACGATAAAGTATACACAGAAGAAAAAGGTTTTAATATGTAAAACTCGTGAGTTTATTTTATTGTATTATTAAAATCTGCATTTAGGGCAATTTAAGTTATCGCACAATTTAAATTATGTTGCATCATATATAAGTAAACAAATAATCCTAGGAAACGTTTAGGTCAATATTTACGTGCAAAAATCAACTATTATATTATTGCTATTATTATATTAATCAGACAGTGTTGTATTTGCATCCTTATATCAATACGTGAATATATCCTGTTATTGTGTTGGTCACACGCTTCATAGTTTTTCCTTGAACTGTGTACATTATTATGTTTACACAATTTAGATGGTTTAAGGGCAAGGTTTTCTAAATTCCCTCTCCACTTTTTAACACTTGTATACAGAATGATTGATATATTCCTGCCGGCTGTTTTTTTTTTCGAAAGTTATAAGAGTTATACAAACATTTAAAATTGTAACTGCCTTGAATTTTTTTATAAAAAATGTTGGTAAAGTTAAGCAAAACATTTTAGCCGACATTTTTCCAATATGGCCACCAACTTAGATTTTTCTTATGGAAGACCCTATATTTAATGATGTTTTTAGAAATTAAATGCAATTTAAATAAAAACAATATTTTCCCTTAATTTTCCCCCTAAAGTTACTTTTTAAGGAGTTACAGCGTGTTACAACTAAGAAAAAATGACTTGCGGTGTACATTATGCATCATTTCATTCTGCATAATGTAGCAAATAAACGAGTAAGCTTAGTGCGAAAATGCTAAGAGGAACTAAGCCTTAAAATTGCATCTACATTCTACAAAGATCAGTTTTCATATCTTCAAATATCCTGCCATTTTTTGAAATTAGAGGCCGTTTTTTGAATAGATTGAGACAATATTTTGCATGCATTTTATGGTCTTTTTATACCATGTGCTGGCTGTTGTTTCAAAGTTGGAGTGAAGTGGATTGGGTGGAATCACTTCCCCTCAAACCGCCTAAATTTTGTGAACGAAGACTAGTGAGTGAGTCCTGTAGCCCAGCAGGTTACTAACCTCCACTGGAGTAACAAGTGATGTCCACAGACGCACCCTCGTTGTAAGGCCCCAGGATATAATGCTGAACCATCTCCCCTCGGTCGTCCAGCACCGTTAGTCTCTGAGGTGGAACTGCAAATATCAACTTATGAGTTAAATTAGATGATATTTTTTCTTATTGCAATTTATTAAGTTAATCACCGACTTAAATAACCCCTTCTTGTTAATTACAAGACTTTTAGTCCTTAAACGTGATTGGTGACAGCCACTATCACATGAAAATTTTTGTGTAATTAACTTAGATGCTCTGGCTAAACGAGCTAAATGCAGATGTATGTTATTAGTGAAACACTATTAGCGTAAACTACACATAATATGAATGTATACAGGTTAAAATAGTTATTTGTGCAACTTGTGAGAAAAATGAGCAATTGACTCACTCGAGAGAAATCCTTACGAGGAATGGTTTCTCGAGTGAGGCAATTGTACTTTGAACTCGAGTTGCACATTATACTTTTCCTACAGTTACCATAAAACAAATAAATTGGTGAAGAAACATAACCTATTTTTACACAGAAGTGAACTTTTAATATAACATTTAATGTGAAGTGACAAATACAACAGTACAACAGCTGACCAGCTGATTTACAGCCAGTGCTGCCAACATATTTCGTGCGCATACGGCGTTGCCTGCATGTTACGCGCTCACTATTTCGTGCCTTCACGTTGAAAATCTGGAGTGTGACAAAGTAATTAGAGTGAGACAATGTTAACATTGTCTCACTGATGAGCGAATTGGCCACTTTGCTTTCTCAAATCAGTGAGAGAACATGTACATTGTTAGGTAACTGTAGGAAAAAATAATAAATAACAGTGTTCTTTGAGTAAATATTTTGTTCATATGAGAGTGGGATAGGTGTATTTCGTCATTAACTCATAATACTTAAAAGTAGAATATAATGCTCATCAAAATACTTTTACTTTTAACATTAGGTACCTTTAGTGACATTTAAATTTAAATTATTTATAAAGAAATAGCAGGATATTTCCAAACACTTTTTTAAAATTCTACTAATTGCATACTGATGCAGCTTAAATATTCCTTATCGTCTTGGATGCTTAAAAAATATCTTTGAATTAATCAGGTAAGGGTCTACACTATGAGACTTAAAATATTTTGTGTTAAGATATAGAATATGCAAAATTAGTAATATTTCATTAGATAGTATTTGCTCAGTACATAATTATGTAATAGAAATATCTTTGCCTCACTTAAAATTATTTTTTTATCCTTAAATATATGATGGACATACAGTTAAATGTACACTAGGTGGTATCGTCAATGCAACATATATTTTTTTAAAGGTAAAACATATACCCAACAAATAAATCTATCTGATTCATCTTTAAAACTATTCATCAACCAGCATATATTTTCTCTGAATCTAATTTGGCTTCATTATCTGTAGTAAGTATAAGTTTGTGCACAGTTGACTTTATCTCTCATATATATTAAAGAATTTTCAGATATATTCCTCACAGCTTATTCGGTATAATACAGGACGTTAAGGGTTGTTTAGTGAAAATTTGAACCTACTAATAACGGTAAGATTGACTTGATAGTGACGAGTGGGAGAACGCTTGAAGTCGACTCTGCAACGGTAAGATCCACCGTCAGCGTCTTTGACTCCTTCTATGGTCAGCTTGGCGGGACTGTCGGTGAACCTGAAGGATGTGCGGCCTCGGAGCGTGGCGTTGGCCCAGTGGAGCGGGGCCTCGGCGTTCCGACCTCGGGCGTCGTAGCTGCAAACCAGCAAACCGGGTTGACAACGATTGACAATATAGTAGATTTCCACGGGAAGCTTAAACGGGCGTATAGTCAATTTAATTGTCAGATCTCTTTTTACTTGGAATTTCAAACATTATCAACAAATAAATCATATTACTGTATAGAAGTCCCATCTCTGTTGGCCTTGTTTAAAACAAAGTATATTGGAAACATAATATTTAGGTCGAGCAAATAGCAATTTAATATAACTTTGAAAAGTATGCATCTTCGTCATCATTGTCGTTTTATAACTATAAAGTATTTGTAGGTCAAAGTTCTGTTCATTATATCAAACTCAATTAGTTATTTATTATAAAAGGATTATGGAATTACTCATAAGGAATTATGAGTAAAAAATACTAATCAAGCCTCATAAAATGTCGCTGTAAAACATAACATCCAGGTCAAAAATTCCACCAGAAATTGTAGTCGTATTTTGTGTAATTCAGTAGCGACATACTCATTTCTCAGAAACAAAACGCTTGGCTGTTATAACATTTATATATTCAAACATTTATCTCTCATGTTTATTTGTCCTCCTGGAATATACATATAGAATAAATCAAGTCTAAAATCTGGTATCAGGTCTTATTATTGTTATTGGGGTTGTGTGCATTTCTCAAAATAACTTTGTTAGACTGAAATGATTTTATTTGTATGTAAGTAAAAGATTATATGAAATCATCGAACACGGTATTTACCTGTAAATAGGAGAATCTGACAGCTCTTTGTACCAGATGACAAGATGGGCTCTGTCTCCTGGCAGATTTGTGTGAACATCACACGGGAGTTTGGCTACTCCACCCTTTACAGCTTCGGTAGCAGAAACACTCTCTAGAAAATACAACACCAGTGTGTGTAAAATTTGATAAAATGATAAAGCTACACTTAAGGTTTGTGTGGACCCTTAATCACATGGATTAAAGGTTTGCTATGTAATATTATTTCAAAACTAGAGGCAAGATTGGAGGTACCACCGAATGAGAGAATTGAGAGACGTTGGCAGCCATATGTACTAGGGGTATATAATACGAGTACATTGTAGACTTGAGTATTGGAAATAGGGGCTGAATGAATAAGGGGGTCTTAGCATTGAAATAAAGCCATAAGCCAATGCACTGGGGGATAGTTGGCACCAACATAACAACGTTTAAAGTGTCTTCATTTTCTAGCAGAGTTACCGTGCCAGCGCATCCTCCAGTCGAATTTCTAGCTTAGTGGATATAATTACCTGGCCTTGATAAACAAAACTATTCTAAATCTAAATATCATATGAGTTTGGCCTGTGTTATGGTAGTAAACTTTTATTATTCTTATTGATATTGGGATATTTAGCAAAGGTTTAGGTAAATTATTAATTTAATGCAGCCCGCCACCTTGGTTGAGTTTCAAACCACAAAATGAGCTACACACTTTCATCAAATGTCTCCACATTTATACATGGTTAGTTTAGATACGGAATACAAACGCTGTAATTGTATGATAGGTTGCTGAAAAAGTAATTGTACTTGTTTAGAACCTAATTTGAGTCTATCACAAAATGCCCTTCTTATTGAAACACTTCTTAATCAAAACTGTAACTAAGATCGATATAAAAACGTTAACCATTATCATCGGTTAAAAAAGAGAGCACGCTGACCAAGAAAAGCAATCAAGGAACAAAAGAGCCAACTTTCTTCAGAATACAAATGCCGGTTTTCGTACACTTATAAGAGCTTTGCAGAAACCATAATGGATTATAAATACTGGCCCCATAAAATACAAAAATTACTTAAAGTTCAACATTTACAAATCCATAACAATTTCATTACAGTTCCGACATTTCTTTCAGATATTGAAGAAAGTAAACCATTGTTTCCGAAAGAATAAACAACAAAATAAAAATATAAAATTCATTTTGTATAACTACAAGTTGTTTTACAAGATGTTTGTGTAAACTATTTTGTTAATGCAATAACAGCTCTAAGATCACTAATATTAGCTTTGACTATTGATACCATAGTAAATGCTATTAGTAGTGACGCAAGTCAAACATTAATTATTTTGTTTCCTTACAATATTTTATTTTATACTTTTGGTCAATTAAAATATTTAAACTAGATTTCCTAATCATTTAAAAAAATTCGTTGAAGGGAAATCTGTTACAAAACGAGTATAATTGGTAAATCAGAAGCTTGTGATTCTTTGAGTAATTCCGTGGCAGACACCAGCACGACGCCTGCTGTGTTAATTGGCCTCAATTGGTGACTAGTGCTCCTGTCATTCCTCAGTCTTTGATTGTGCACCGTGACTAACACTGCTTGGCAGCAACACAAGGGAAATGGTTGGTGGTAATGGAAATGTATAATGGCTCTCATGTGTGTAATACTACTTAGATTTTACTTTATTTACAATAAATATCCAAATAATAATATCCGTACGGTTTTTATTCTACTCTGAGTATTGTTTTGTACTATATCTTTTAAAAATATTAGATGAATAAGATTTTTTTTTATCATGAAGTCTCATCATTCCTGAAATTTGTCTGTTACAAAACGTATTGGAACTATATTCACATATGATTTACGTGAAGGAATGTTTTATGTGACATGGCATATACAAATTCATACGTACAGATAATTAAAAAAGTAATACAGATAACAGTAGTACAGGAAATTTTACAGTTAATAATCATATTTCATTTTTACCTTAAAAATCAAGTTTATAGAAATCATACTTGGAGTTTGCCAATACAGGGATTTTATAGTTTAACTTAAGACTTGTACATTGGAAAGTCCAAATTAGACCAAATTAGAATTGTTGTATTTTGGGGAATCCGCGTTTGTTAAGAAACTGCTTGTTAAAAATCATCAAACTAAAACATATTTAAATACGATATTATCTATATATATAAAAGGCAAAGCCCTCACTGACTGACTGACTCACTCACTCATCACTAATTCTCTTACTTCCCATTTACCTAGGAGGCTGAAATTTGGTACACTGATTCTTTAGGCATTAAATAGGAAAACTTAGCTGTTTTTATTCTGATCGGACTCTCGGGCTCCGCCCCAGTGGCTCTGGAGTTTCCCATGTTAACCTTATGAGTTCTCATATTTAAATGGAATTAATGAATCTTAACAGCTGTTTCAATTAAACAAGTTGGTTCTGTTCTATAATGATCAATAGCATTTAAGTTACAAGGATTACCAACAGAGTGCAGCACTATTATTTCTTTTACATTTATGACAACAGCTAATTTGCAACCAAAAGGTGAGTGAGCGTAGCGAACGAACTAACCAGGAAGGCAAGTGAGCGCAGCGAACGAGCTCCAACCTAAAAGTCAGTGAGCGTAGCGAACGAACTTCAACCAGGACGTGATTGAGCCATGCGAACAAGCTCACTTATGAAGTTAAACGGGGCAAAGCCCGCGGGTACAGCTAGTCTTCTATATATTAATACGCAAGCAGTTTTCTTTTCACAGTCATAACTCAGTAACGGCTTGATGGATTTTAAAGTTTGAGGTGTCAAATTAAAGGTATTTTCACGTAGATGTGCAAATACGTCTCATAATATTTAGAAAGGGCACCACTTAAGTACACTTAAGCGCTAAAGTTTGGAAGGCGGCGCTATCTGTTGACATTTGATCAAACTCATTTCCCTTTGTTTACAAATAACATATGGACGTAGTTTGAAATAGTTTTTAAGGTTAACCACAGACTTAAAACTTCCAGAGCAAAGCTGGAATATATATTTTGTTTCAATCTGTTAACTAAGTCTGGTTCACAATGAAGAGTTTCCTATCAATAATAGACAACAAAGTGTTTAAGAATAAATATTTAATAAATATTTAATTCTTTTTGTCTATGGTTAAATTGATTTACCTTACATAGTATTTTACTGATTATCATGTAGTTACAGTTCGATGTGATGAAGTGAATGTTTAAAAGTGATTATTCACAGGGCAATTATCCGTTACATTACCATATTATAATGTAATTTACAATGTGTGTCAAAATTCCAATTCCTTTATAGTGTTTTCTGTTGTTTGGTTAACTTTCTTATTTCATTTCAATTTAAAATCAAATGCCGCCAGTACGACGAAGAACTGTGAGTGGCTGGAGGGAGTGCGAACATGACCGCTTGCATCAACCTCTCAATTGAACATTTGATGTGTACATAGTGGTAGTACCACCGTTGTGATAGTCCTATCTCGGACAAATGAACATTAAATATTTACATTGTAGTGGCTTACATATTTTTAAGCAAAAAAAAAAAAAAAAAAAAAAAAAAAAAAAAAAAAAAAAAAAAAAAAAAAACTGGCCGAGACAGTTAAGTTTGTACTTTTCGTTGCCATAAATGACAGGTTCGTTTACCTCATTTGTGCAATTCACCACAATAAACTTAGGGTTCTTATTGGAAACTCCCAATCTGGAAATAGGACTGTGAGACTGATTATCCAGAAATTATTTGGATAAAGTTCGTTAATTCAGTTCTGCCTTTACCATGGTCAGTTCCAAAGCTCATTAAGATGAGAAAGTTCCACAGTGGATCTACAATTTTAAGATCCGTGACACGTTTTACCACCGAGTAGATCCTCTAATTCCTCAAGAAGGTGATGATCCTGAATACGCACAGATATATAAGTAAGTATTACAATGTCATTGGAACCCAAAGGAGAACTTAAGCACTATAAAAAAAATGCAATGAAAAAATATGCGGGAAATAGGGTCACAATGCCAGCCCATTTGCAAATATTTGAAGACTGTGGCAGACATTATGTAGGGACGAGAGCTCCGAGGAGTCAAGTGAGATTCTTATGTACATAATAAGAGACAGAAGAAATTTCTTCCCTCGCTACAATGATGCTACCTGTCTGTGTAGATTTCGCAGCAATTTTTAAAGCTGAAAACAAAGTACCACCTGGCCAAATAAATCTTATAGCTTTTTCCAACACTAATAATGTTAAACGCGTATCCATTATAGATCTGTTGTTAGATCCACTTGCTTACCCTCTTATGTTCCCAACCGGAGACTTGGGTTAGGGCCCCTAATTTAAATACGCCTAAAACAGAACATATCAAAGAAATAATTTAACAATGCTAGAATAAGAGTAGCGATGGTTGGCGTCAAGAGAGGAATTGAGCTACATTAGGTCAAAAGCTCACTTTACAGTGTGTGGTTTACATCTACGTGCTCATAGAGTGCACCCGCCTCCTACACCTAAGAGATAACCAAAGCAGTATGACAGTAAATGTAAATTTAAATATTGTAGATTGCTTATATATTTTTTACATCAGTTTTACTCGATTTCGAGCAACAGGTTATCTAGTTATTTTTATATCAAAGAATTATTTTACGATGCAAATATTATAACTTAATTTGCTATGGTTAACGTAAGTTATCGTTTGCTATTGTAGTCTTGAGTACAGATTCATCTTTAGGTAATTCAATTTTAGTCATAATTATTTTTTATTTGAAATCAATTAGATAGTTATTCTGTAGAAACAGATTTGAATAAAGGAAATCAGTTTTTAATCGATATACATATAATACACCATTTTATTGTATTCAAAATAAAATATTTGTTTTTATTTGAAAATAATTAGTCATTATATTTAAATACGAAGAAATGTAAAAATTGATAAAAGGTTACTCATTTTGCACTGAACGATGTTATAGTATGAATATGTATTTAAAAAGTAGTATCATATTATAAATATGTTTATGTGAATTTTTATGTTTGAATAAACACATTACTGATATATGAATTTATTACACTGCATTATGGAATGCGACTGCTGAAAATAAATGTTTTCCCAATTATTAAAATATGTTATCGTTAACAAGGTTAT